GTTTTATAATAAATAATCACGCCTTACAATTAAAGTCATGTTCCTTTAATAATCACCTATATAACCTGTTTCATTACAAAACAAGTCTAGTTACATATTGTTTCAGTACTTTTTCTAATGACGTAAAATGAAGTACTGAACCAATTTGAGCAACTAAAACAGACAAGACGAAAATTACACCTCAAAAATTATAACTTCAAAAACACTTCGAAACAAATTGCAATAATTCATAATTCTAGTTCAGATCTAATCATAAGCGCACAAGAAACAGGTCAATGACCCACATAAGTGCGTCAGTACCCAATGAAGTAAAAAAATGACGTTTTTAAAGCTTCGTCGGTCACGACTTTCCGCACTTCGTGACTTTGTAATGGGGGACTGCGAAGAAATTGACAAGTCTTCGACGGCCCTTGTACATTGTACTAGTACTGTTAGACTGATCACTAACCTATAACTCTCAATCTGAGCCTGATTGTAGACTGAGGCTTTTCAAACATAATTGACATTTATTGTGTGTTTCGTTTATTAGTGACGATCGGATTTAGGCTCTGTTGATTGTTTTCCAGGACAGTTTCTTACGAAGCGGACAATACTAGATCAGAAAGGTATTTTAAGACCCAAATGAATAAATTGCTTGTGGACAAGCCTGCTCCGTATTGTAGGCCGCACCATCATTTACCACTTGACGAGTTAGTGGTCAAACGCCGAGCAAGTCAAGCATATTAAAAGAAAATTAAGATAGAACAAAAGAGGAATAAAGAGAAGTCCAGCTACAATTAAGTTAAATACCACTAGAAACTTTTTACCTAGCTACCGTTTCTTTGCAAAAAGCGAGCCGTGTTGAAACGTCATAACTTTTTAGACGAACTAAGAGACCAGCGGTTCTACTAAGCCCACAGGGAACTGAAAATAGACTTTTACTAAGAAAACTCTACTCCCTAGGCAAATAAAAGTCTTTGGAAGAAGTATATGAGATCAAAGTTTAGCTACGAGTAAGGCTTAGTGCACACGACCGCATGCCTTGTAGTTGTAGTTTGTGACATTGTAGAGTGGGACTGAGACTTCGCAAGTGTAGTCTCTCTTTGGAATATATGAGCCTAGTTCATGTCTGAGATGGTTGGGTTTCTTGGTATGTAGATTGTCGTGATGTACTGTGTCGTGTTTGATTTTTAAAGCTCACGATGTTTGGTCAAGTCGTCGCAGTATTCTGAATGTATGGTTATATTATTTATGCGAAAGTACAAAACTTCGTTATTTTTACACATAATGTAACTATGTTATATTATACTAGTGATAAAAATATATAATAGGGACGTAATTCAAGGTATTCCTTACTTATTGAAAGATTTGTCCGGTATTATTTATTTTCCAGCTACCTATTTTCTAACTTGATATACAAGGCGGTTGGATTTATTTTAAAATTATGTTTTTATT